AAAAAAAAAAAAAAAAAAAAAAAAAAAGGACAAAAAGAAAATAAAAGCTAGTGGGAAAACCCACGCTCTCAACGTGTATTTACTCAAATGACTAGAAGAAACATTGGCATATGGTATAAGAGAACTCTTCCTACTTGGGAGCCTGGGAAAAGTGTGCCCGGTCAGCTAATTTGCCGTCTGACTCGGGGCACGACACGCCCCCCTGAACCTCAGTTTCCCCATCTGTAAAACGTGTACGCTGCGCGGGATGTCGTCGAATGCCCCTTCCCGTCCAAAGCCTGCGCTTCCCGGTAGGAGACGCAAGGAGCTCTCCGCCAGCGAGACGCCTCCAGGACGGTTCGCGGAGCCGAGCCGGCGCTCTGGGCTGCAGGGCCCGCAGGACACTGAGCGCGACCCCGACGCCCCTCCCCCAGCAGAGCTGCCGGCAGCTGGCTCCAGGCCCGCTATTCCCTCACCTCGGGCTACTGCCCGGGGTCCGCGCAGCTCCAGGCCTGCCTCTCCGGCTCACCTCTCGGGAGACCAGGTCCTGCTCTAGCGGCTGCTTCGCGCGCAAAAGCGCCCCTGGGCTCGGCCCGGCCCCTCCGGATTCACCCCGGCTCAAGCCCGTGGGGCACCGAGAACAATGGACGGGAGAGGCCCGCCCATCACCCCGCTCATTGGCTGCCGAGAACGGCCCTGGAAATTCTGCCTTTCTATTGGTGGAGACGGCACCCAGCCGGGAGGCGGGAGGGAGGCTGGGCCCAAGGCATTGTGGGAGATGTAGTCCGCCCGGAGGTGAACCTGACCGCGGTCTCCGCAGTAGGGTTTGGGGCTGATAGCCTGGGCAGTGCCCGCGGGTCAGAGGCAGGAAAATCCGCAGACTGACCGTCAGAACCCCTGTGTTGGCCAGAGCTGTAACCCGAGACAAGCCGTTTCACTTATCTAAGGCCTCTGTATATTTGTCTATAAAAAGTGAAAGTTGGATGACCGGACTTGAAGGACCTTTTCAGCTGCAAATCCTGTGGCAAGGAGTATTGTCAGGCACCCTCGACCGGCGAGAGCAGACCCTGGGCAGGAAGGGAGGCCATGGGGGAACAAATCCTCATCGCCCAAGCCTGGCGCCTTTCCCCCAGTTTGCAGCTGTACACAGGCACTCGGTCTTCGCACACCCCTCTGTTTTCGCACGTGGTATTCCTGTGTTTGGAGGAACGTCCTGCCCCGCCTCCTCTGCCGCGGAACTCCCATTCTTCCAGCTTCTCCTGGGTGAAACCTGCCCTGTCATCACCACCTCCCCAGGCAGAGACACCGCCCCTAGTACACCTGTTGGACGTCCCCATTTTATTTTTAAAAAATATATATTTATGTATATGTATTTTTATACACACACAGAGAGACAGGATCTACATTTCATAGAGACAGGGTCTCCATATGTTGCCCAGGCTGGCCTCGAACCCCTGGGCTCAAGCAGTCCTTCCTCCTCAGCCTCCCAAAATGCTGGAATTACAGGTGTGAGCCACTGCACCCGGCTGACGTCTCCATTTTAGTACTGATCACTGGGTTGCTTACATATCAATCTCAGTATCGGGGAAGGGAGGGTTCCCGGGAGTGGCAGTTTGGCCTCCATCTTTGTGTTCCTACCCCTAGCGCTGCTGAAGAAATGGCTGCCCCAACCCTGCTTGAAAACAGGTGAGAAACTACCTGGAAACTCAAGTGGAAAATCTAAAAATGGAGAGAGACACCTATAATGGTCTGTGATAGAATCGTTGTGTATGTTTGAACAGAGCAATTACCGGAGGCACCTGCAATGAAATGACTGCTTTTTTTTTTTTTCTCTGTCGCCCAGGCTGGAGTGCACTCACACGATCTCGGCCCACTGAATCTTCCCCTGCCAGGTTCAGGTGATTCTCCTGCCTCAGCCTCCAGAGTAGGTGGGATTACAGGCATGCGCCACCACACCCGGCTAATTTTGTGTATTTTTAGTGGAGACAGGGATTTCACTATGTTGATCAGACTGGTCTTGAATTCCTGACCTCAGGTGATCCA